TTCACAATTACTCATTTTTTATCGAGTTTACAGGAACTCCTCAAAACAGATGATTACAAATTTTCAGGTTATCTTTTAACTGATATATATAAACACAAAATGTAAGCACCTTATTTAGTTTACGCTATTTTCATTTATTAGACTATCAACACACCTGCGCTGAATTCCTTACAATAATTTTCTTGAAAAAAACAATTCTAAAGGAATTTGTAAATTCCTACTTACACATTTAGACTCAGCCGAGGGTGCCCACAGTTCCACCATGAAAAACCAGTGTTTCTAAGACTGCAGTTCATGTGACATGTAAATAGTGAGATTTTATCACAATGTCTGAGAAAGGTCTTTGAACTCAGCTAAGTTATACTCCATATTCAATAGCCAATCAACACTCAGTTCAAGAAATAAAGACAAACTGTTCTGTTTTGCCTCTTCCATGTGTATTTATTTATCAGTTTAACTGCTCGTGTGGCGCTTGTTGAATTGGACGTACGACCAGACCAGTTCGTCGTTGAATTTCTGAACACCTCCTTCCATCTTGGTCTAGCAAAGGTTCAAATAAAGTTATACGTAGCCCAATACCAGCTCATCTCGTCGATACTGAACACCAAGGTGACTGTAACAAAGCTTTTTAAAGTCACTTATCGTATTTCACCCAACCTCTCACACAGTCTGCGAGTATGACTTTTATATACAGTAGAGGTAGTTGGAATATATGTGAGCAAGTCAAGTCAGTGTGTTCAAAAGAAATTTGTACAGCCCCTTTCTTTGCGTTGACCAACTGTATACAAACGATTTTCACCTCCCCCCCTTGTAACTATCTTCTAACTTTGTTTTTTTATTATGATTACAATTCTAGCTGACTTAATCAACTTGTTTGTATCATATGTAATTCTACTTAGTCACCATTATTTCCCAAACTTCTTGATTGCATAATAACTGGTTGCAACATCCAGTGCCAATCACCATCAACGGTAGGGATTTGAAAGAGGTTACTTCATTCACTTATCTAGGGATCATTGTCTCAACTACAGGAGGAACGGACAACGATGTCAAATCGAAACCGGGAAGGCGAGAAACACATTCATCAAACTGAAACCAATCTGGAAATCCTCGTCACTCAACATCAACAACAAAATTCGGATTTTCAATACAAACGTCAAGTCAGTTCTTCTTCTATACGGATCAGAAACTTGGCCAGTGTGTCACAAAGAATATTTCCAACAGCCTGTTGCAGACCTTTATCAACAACTCTCTTCGCTGGCTCTATACTGAAGATCAGATGGCCGGAAAGACCAAGAACCAACAAGAAACTATGGGAACAAACAAAACAAGAACCAATCACCCAACAAATATGCAGGAGAAAGTGGAGATGGATTGGACACCCACTCGCTGAGGAGGCCGCTGGGTGACATCGCGCGTCAGGCCATCGCTCGAGTGGAACCCGAAAGGGAAGCGGCGAGTGGTTCGTTGGTGCAAGGGTGACATGGAGGAGATCGTGTGAAGAGGAGCTGAAACAGTATGGACTAACATGGATGCAGGTGAAAAGTACAACAGAAGACAGAAGCAAGTGGAGACGTGCAGTTGAAGCCCTATGTTCCACTAGGAACCCAAGGGAACAATATATATATATATAACACCTACGAATTAACTGATCTTGAATTCCATAATTATTTTGACCCCTCCCTCCTTAAAAACATGGATACCTTGTTGCGAACATCTAATAATTAATTGTTTTGATAACTTTAATCTCTTATTGTCACTCCCATACCTAAAACTGATAATTCTTATGGACTAAACTAAGTGACTGGTACAGTATTAGAGTGGAGTGAATGATAAGGAACTCATTGAAAAGGAATGTATTTCTCCTCTCAATTTATTGTTTATTCTAAAGGAAGTAAAGTGAAGATTATCAATTATAATCTTATTGATTGATTATGCAATAGAGTGTAGTATGTTGCATCATTTGGTTGATAGCGGATAGCAAAGAAATCCACCGAATCAAACAGCATCATGTTAACCTTAAAGCACAGTCAAAATGCGTTTTACCAAGGGTTGATATATCACGAAAAATGGAAAATTTTGACCCATAAAAATCAGTTAACTGGAAATTAACAATTATGTCAATGTAATTTATCTGAAACGTGTGATGCATTTTCGCAATACATCTCACGTACTTATCATACATATTTACATAAAAGTTAACAGAGTATAAAGGGTCAAAATTCTATCAGCGTAGGTCAGGTGTTTAGCGTCCATGGTTTAGCAGTAGAACGTTCACTAGCAATGCCATTTGTGATCTGGGGTTCAACTCCAGGCCAGTGCATTCCTAAACCATACAAAGCCGGAAGTAAGCCCGGTAAAGAGGGAAGGTTGGGCGGGAGGCTAGCAACCTCACCCGGTGAAAGACGAAATCATCACTACCGAGACTTCAAAGCTTAGACTTGAAGCCCTATGTTCATTTTGGAACGTAAAGGAATAAAATTTTCTAAAAAATGTCTAGGGCCCAAGATCACAATTAACGAGTAAGGCAGGAAAAGGGGTGAAAATATTATTACGTAAAGTAAACGTTGTTTTAAAAGTTGGACTCCTGGAGCAAGTTCAAAATAATAACAAATAACTTTTGACTCTATAGGAAAGTCAAACGAAACGCTTCACAAATCCACTCAGCCCCTGAAAAGGATATTTATACAACTTTAACATTCAACGATGATTACTCAAGTTTGACCACTAAACAACGAATCGGAGTGGTACTCGACACAACTTACTATGCTGCTAAACTCATTTCCATAAAGAAAATGAAATTCACTTTTTTTTAGAAACCCTCACAGCGTCTGAACGATAGTGTCACAACCCATATTCCTATGTGGTTGCAAAAGCAAATAAAATCGTCTAATTCAATTTACCCTGTAAATAGATTCACAACCTTATCTGTTGCAAAACATATCAAATTTATGGGTTATAAAGTTTATTTCAATAGTGCACCTTATATACTTAAATTCGTACAGGCCTTAGCCATAAAACGGTTTAAACTTGTTTTGTGTTCAGAATTATTTATTATTACTTTGATCTTGCCCTGGTAGTCCAATTTTACAACCAAAGTTTACATTACGTAATAATAGTTTCATCCCTTTTCCTTCCCTACCCATTATCTGCGACCTTGAGCCCTAAACATTTGACCTATATTGATTCAATTTTTATCCTTTACACTCTAAAATTTCAGGAAACTCCATCCTGTAGCAAGTCACTAGAGAGTATCAGATCAGTTTTCAAGGGTTGATTTGTAAATATTAGATTTGTTTTTACGAAGTTGACCATGGATTGATATCATTTAGAGAACCATTGAAAACCAGGCAGGAGTACTGGACAGCTGTTTCATCCTAGTTTGGGAATCATCGACAGTAAGCACCTGAAGGTCCTGGGTTCAAACCCTGAGAGTAGGTGCATACTACCGGCGATTCCCAAACTAGGATGAAACAGCTGTTCAATACTCCTGCCTGGTTTTCAATGGTTCTCTAACTGATATCAATCAGTGGTCAAACTCGTAAAAACAAATCTAATCCTTAAAAATCAATCGTTGAAAATAAATCTGATGCTCTCTAGTGACTTGCTACAGGACGGAGCTTCCTGAAGTTTTAGAGTGTAATGGTTCTGGAGTTCCAGTGAGAAGTCGTGACCAGTGAGGTGCATCCAGTCGAGAGTAGGGATGGATTTCCAACCTTTACACTCTGTTAACTTTCATATAAATGTGCATGACAGGGATGTGTGTGTGTGTTAAAGATGCCCGAAATATGTCGTGAAAGTACATATCACATTTCAGATAAATTACTTCTTCTGATTTCTTTTTACATAGTCACAAATGGAACTAATTGCTTTAAACAAAAGCATACCGTATTATTTACAGATAAATTACAAGGTGACGTAATACTACATTTATTTATTAACACCAATTCATACTAAACTTGCCTCTGAAGATGCTGTCTAGGAAGACAATAGGAGTCTGTCAACTGAACCACCTGGCTCAGAGAATACAACTACACCGGTAACACCGATTCATTTTGAAGTATTTCAGTAATGAAAAACTCATTTGTACTCAACACATTTAGACAACAGTAAAGTAAATAACCATTGAAATATCTCACTAATGAATTTGAAAATAAGCCCATCACCTATAGATTTCGAAAGAGATTTGAATCAGTAGGCTTAGCCGTAAAGACTCTAATGCTGTGACGAAGAACTAAAGGACTCTATATTGATGTATAATACTCTTCGTAAATGAAAGATAAAAATAACACATGAGATAAAATCAATTTCGAAATCCCTTACATTTTTAAGTTAGCCTGTAGGGATTTGATTTGCTTCAGATTTGATCACGAATTGATATCAATTAGAAAAGTAGGTAGTGTTAACGGACAACCGTTTTGTCCTGGCCGGGGACTCTTCAGAAGTAGGCACCCGCAACTTTCAGGTTACGAGGTCAAGGTCATTGACTATTCATCCGGGATCTAATAGCCCATTAATTCTAATTTTTGCGACCAGAATTGAAACAGATGAAATCCCTACAAACTAAATGTTGAAAATGTAATGTAATGTTCGCTAGTAACTGACTACAAGATGAGTTACAGTGAGAATTTATGGGCAATGGGATCCATCAGAACATTGGCTGGTTGTCATGCTGAAATCATGAATTGACAGAAGTTAGAATTCATGGGCTATTGGATTCTGACCAAGATGGATGAGAAGTCAACGCGGTTGATCTCGTAACCTGAGGTTCGACCTGAGTTCGACCCCCAAAAGTGTTGTGAATCCGCACAGATGAAGAGTTCCAAACTAGGACGAAACAGCCTCCCAGAAGTACTTCATGCCTTCTAATGATTCTTTAATTGATATCAATGCACAATCAAACTTGAAGTATTTTACTCGCTGAAGTAATCAAAATAATCATGAATACTACAAGTACAAATCATCTCAAAAGAACAAATAATATTCAGTGAATTACTTACTCTGTTCATGAACATTGATCGATATTTTCCTCGAAATATCCCAATTTGACGGTTCACTGTTTAAAGCATTCGCTGTATTCAGCAATAAATAGCATAAATGTAATTCTCTATAGACTGATTGCACTTCACATGAATGTAATTCAATAAACGGTGTTAACACAGTAAGTAATCGATGAAAATCACTCAATGGGATTGTAGTCCATGGGATATAAAATTCTTGAGGTATAAAAATAATACGTAAATCACTTGAATAAAAGAAATTACATGAATTAATGATGGTATTATTATTATTATTATCATCATCGTCGCCATCATTATTTTTCTCATGATTATGATTAGATTGCTGTGTGGTAATTAGACCAGGCCATAGACCGGCTAATACACGAAATAATGCTGTTTTACCGACACCACTTGGACCTTTAATGAGTAACGGTTCATTTCTTCTAAGCGTTAAACTCAAATCTAGGGAATAAGAAAAAAACAAACAAGAACGAAAATGATAAAACCCAAAATTAAAATGGGTGGGCACTACTAATTTTAAGAGAGAAGTAGTTAGACTTGGAAACTTCTGTCCTTCTAACATTATAAGTTTAAGTTTCCTCAGTTCATGTGATAAGTGTACTGATGATTCAGTGGTAGGCTGAGCATGTATATATATATATATATATAGTATATAGTCTGGGTTCGATCCCCAGTTGACGCACCTCTAAACCTTGCTTAGTCGGTGATAAGTCCGGTAAAGACGGGAGCTTGGGTGTGAAGCTATCAACCCCAACTCATAACAAGGGATAACACCAATGCTTGAAACTTTAATCCCCATGTTTCACTAAGAACGCAAAGGAATAAAATAAATTTATATGATAATAAACGGAAATTCTGCCTTTTACAAATCAGCAAGAAACTCAGTATATATTTAGTAAGTTATCATGAATTTATAGTAGAAGATGAACACACCTGTGACATATGCTACTGACAAGGTATATCAGTAATATAAAGATGCAGCTTGATAGGAAGCAGTCAAAACTGAAATCAACATTTTAAGCCAATGGTTGAAGAGGTAGAAGTGTTTATTCATGAAATGTAGATCTAGTTTACGTTAAAGACATGAAATAATCTCATTGGACAACTTTCTGTCTCATTATTTAACCTTAGGGAAATCGCCAACCAATCAGGATAATTTACTGTCCACTGACCCAACCATCTTTCAATGTGGTCAGAAATGAATAAATATGATGTGTTTTTCCTTATACGAAAGGTTCGTTACCTATTCTACCTTTACACAATAAATATTGGTGTTCAAAAATACAAAACTGCTCACATTCTCATATTCAGAGAGTCATGAGGTACCGAAGTATGCTAACGTGACACAACTGTCTTCCATGTGACGACGAAATACCAAGGGCTGGTCAGCTTCCCGATGTTTCCAGCCAGTTCCAAAGCCAGAAGTAAGCGAACGACTATAATTTATAACACATAGTCAAGCAAGTGAAGTTAAGATATAATCTCCGTGATAAGAGAACGACTGAGCCATCAATTACCAGCTTCCACGATAGTTCATGCGTTAAAGTAGAAGATACTACATGGATATTAAAAACTTGTGAGGTTGAAGATAACTCTCATCTACTAACGACAGTAAGCGAAAATACCTCATAATATAACTGCAATTTATCCAAATCAGGTAATCTAAACTTCCATGGTAAATTGCATTTAGGTTTAAAAGGATACCACCTAGCGTCTTTGAACTAAAAGTGACATGTATTTTAGAGTTTGATTATGGATTGATATCAGTTAGAGAAGCATGGAAAACCAGGAAGGAGTACTGGACAGCTGTTTCGTCAGCCTAGTTTGGGAAACATCGGCAGTACGCACCCACCACAAGAGTTCGATCCCAGGACCTTCCGGTTACAAGGCAAGCTCGTATACCATTGAGCCCTTGGGACTCGATTCAATGGCCCATGATTTCTAACTTCTACTGCAGATGACATTGATTAGTGGTCGCGCTAAATCACGAATTGGTAAAAGTTAGAATTCATGGACCATTGAATGGAGTCCCAGTGGCTGAATCGTATACGAGCTTGCCTTTTAGCCGGAAGGTCCAGGGTTCGAGCCCCAGTGTGGGTACTGTCGATGATTGCCAAACTAGGATGAAACAGCTGTCCAGTACTCCTGGGTGGCTAACTGATATCAATCCATGGTCAAATCTGAAAGAATAAATCTAATCCTAACAAACCAAATCTTAAAAAGAATATGCTCGGTTTTCCAAGTTTTATAATATAGCAAAACAATGTTGAGAAGTAGAAAGCTGAATTACAGGATGAGATATATGTGCCTATATATTACTATGAAAAACGTACCATGGATTAAAATGTTGTTTGGGTTTGATGGTACACATACTGACAAATGATCAATTTGAAAAACAACATCACTTTGAAATGACTCATCACCATATCCACCGATTACATCATGTACAGGACTATCCAGGAAGGAGACAACAACAATTGGGAAAAGAAAATCAGAAAAAATTAATTTTTTTAAGTAAATTTAAATTAGTATTTTTGAGTAAAAGGTAAAGAAGATTCAATTTAAATCTGGAGGTAAAAATACTCTTTTTGATTAAATCTTAATGAGGAATGTACTTGAAAACAGTTGAAGAATCCCAGAAATGGCTGAAACAGCCGGACTGACGACCATTTTGATTGACTGACTGACAAAACAACGTAGAAATATGCATAGACATGCAACAGATGAATTTGTCACATTCAGAATAAAGGAAAGGTTAGTGGAAACTTTTAGAGTCTGTAAGATGATTATTGTGATTTTATTTCTTCGCATTCCAAGTGGAACCTACGGCTTTAAGCACTGAGCTTTCAACTTTCAGCAGCAGTGGTGTTTATTTTTACGGGATGAGGTTGCTAACCTCATGCCCAGCCTTGTGTCTTTACCGGCCTTAACGAAGGCTTAACGAGGTTTATGAGTAAGTCGGCTGGGGATCAAACCCCAGACCACGTGAAGCGTGGTTGGCGAGTAATTATAAAACTAAACCATCAACACACAAACTATAAGATAACGAAGTGAAAATTCACCTGCACTGTTGTAGGCGATATCGCGACATATCACAAAGAGTTGCCTACCATTAATATTTAGTATCTCGGAAACTCACGTCAGATAGTCTACATATCCTTATGTGGATCACATCAAATGTTCATCACAGGTGTTCAGTGCTCCTGTGGTCTAGGTGATTACCTAACTGATGTTATCTCATGCCATTTACTTAAAATCGATTAATTTTAACCTGAAAATGTTAGTGAGTGTAACTCAAGATATAAATATCCACACTTATACATATTTTTTGATTGGACACTAGTTAGTAACTAGTGTAATGTGTCTAGTCCTATCTTTGGTGCAAACTGAATTCTATCAGTCAAGTTTGCAATGTGGCCAGCATGCTAGATGGCTCATCATCACGGTCCTATCTGCACCAGTCTACACCAAAGACAGAATTAGACACATTACACTAGTTACTAACTAGTTTCCAGTCCTAAATATACAATACAGTCCTACAGGATGTTAATCGCAAGCCCGAATAGCTCAGCGGTAGCGTCCTTGACTGCAGAGCCCACTGAGGGACAAGGGGAAGAATCTCAGAAGGGACATGAGTTCCTTCAAGGTTGCAGATATGTCTTGCTGACTGACTGTTGAGTGCCAACTAGCACGAAACCTAGGTCCAAACAGGCCTTCCTGCCGATTGCCTCCAACCATCTAATGTCAACATATATATATATATATATATATATATATGTTAGAGACCTAACAGACGTGGATAATTAACACCGTTATTCACCCTTTTTTGAGACTAGACAAAATGGAGTGAGTTGAAATACAAAAACTATAAAAATAGAACTAGACAACTATTGACCTAGAACATCTCACCAGTGAAATGAATAATAATAATTTAAAAACCTTTTGTTTTCAATAAATAACTTTCGACATATATTGGCTGATGATAGAGAAAAAATAAAATAAATCTTTACGTAAAGAATACGTAGATTTGTGATTTTTACTAAATCGATCATATATTTAAGACTATTTTGACTTATTGTGATTTATACAGCCTGCCAGTTTCACCAATCTACATGATCTTGAACTATGTGTAATTCATCAGAAAAGAAAGTCATTTTTGACAGAAGAGTAAGATTCTGGACATTGTGGTAGAGTGTGTTCCAATACTAGTTTATGCAAAATGTGGGCTTTTTGGGGATTTGAATTGATGTAACTTCAGCCACAAGGTTTCGTCACGAACCAATATCGGTAAGAGAGATCACCGAAAACCAGTGAGTACTGCTGGATACCTGTCTCGTCCTAGTTCGTGTCTCTTCAGCGGTGCGTACCCAAAAACCCACCAGGGACCGAACTCGGGACCTTCAGGTTATGACAAAAAGTTTGTTGACCATTCAACCACTTGGACTAGAATTCAGTGACCTATGAAATCGAATCTTGTCAACTCGTGGGGTCCACCGTGTCAAAGCGAAGTGAATAGTCATCAAGAAGGCAATGGTTCAGTCTAGCCCTATATCACGAATTGACAAAGTTCAAAATTCATAGGTCATTGGATTCCTGCTCAAGTGGCTGAATGGTCGACGAACTTGGTCTCGTAACCTGACAGTCAAAGGTTCGATCTCTTGAGGCGGGATCGTGGATGCGCATTACTGAAGAGTCCAAACTGGGACCAAACCACTGTTCCATGCTCCTTGGTTAGTGATGAAATCTAACAACTGAAATTAGTTAATTCATCATCACATTCTGATACATGATAATCTATAGGAAAAAGTTCCAAGTACAACTTTTTGCTCATATTCATATCAAATGACATTACTAAAAAAAGTTGTCAGTATAATTGGTTCAACTGAAATGAATTTTCAGAACACGAAAATTTTTCCGATCTCATATCTTTTTACGACAACATAAGAGAATGACTAAAGAACTGATTTTCAGCAAAACAGGATAGGTATTAAGAAACATTACTACTATTATTACTAAGTAAAGGGTTTAAGACTAGTAATATCGTTCAGCAGTGCTCAGCAGTCCGCCCCGTCCTCCTTTATGCATGTGAGATATGGCCACTGAAAGTGGAAGATATGAAAAGGGTGGCTAGCTGTCTTTGATCATGGGTGTCTGCGTTTCATTTCCCATGTTAAGTGGTATAATAGGGTGAGCAACATTGAGGTTAGGCATCAGTCGAGTGCTAGGTAATGAGGGGAATCAATCGACGAGGTTGTGAAGTTACATCCATTGAGATAGTTAAAACATGTGTTACGCACGCCTGCCTGACCATACATCGCCTTCCTCGATTGGCATAGGATCAGGTTGTAAAAGAGCTAGTGGTGGTCAAACGAAAACATGGCTGCATCAGTCAACGAAATCCACAGCAGTTAGTTGAAGCCAGCCAGCCACATAGGGAAGTGTAGGCTGCTTGACTGGTTGAAGTTCTTGGGATGGTAAAAACCAGTGGTTGGAGACAAGTGGTGATATGGCTGAAAAGAGTTCTCAATTACTGGTGCAGATGCATTCACTCTTTGTGATTTCTTATATCCAATAAAATTCTATTGTTCTTCCGTATTACTATTCTCTTTGGCACATATTTCTGTTTATAATCTCTCTCTTTTGAATCTCTCTTTATGCTCTTCTCTTGGTCTGCGTGCTACATATGTGCAAAGTTCTACGCTGGAACCAGTCAGTCAGGTTCTATAAAGAAGGCAATACACTGCAATTCGTAGTCGTATATTAAATAAAAATTACTTGATTAATACAAAGATTCAATCGCTGATGCGGACATTCACACAACATTTGTGAGAATAAATCATCAAGGCTGTAGAAATTCCTAGATCCCACTATGATATGATGAATTGCCTTTCTTATTTCAAAGGATCAACTGAATAACTATTTAAAGCTGTTTTTATTCACTATTGTGTTGTCTCTTTAGAACAAAAATGAAGCAGTAATGAATATAGGTGAATACAATTCAGTTAAAATAAGATAAAATTACTCTATTATTACAATATGCCCCAACTGTAGTTTCCAAATGAGACGATGAACTGAACTTTTTTGTACACTTGTCCTTGATAACAACGCTAAAATTTGACTTTTATACATTCCTAATACCTGAAAGAGTTTTCTAGTCTGTGAAAATTTGTACAAAGAGTGTCGTAATGCTTTTGAGAAAGAATACATATCAAACTGTTTAGTCTGGATGTATGTTAACATTTTAGTGAAGTGAATACGTGAGCGTTGAACTATCTTTAGAGAAGATTAAGGTTTCTGTTGAATTATACCACTTAACATGGAAGATGGAATGTAGACACCCATGATCAAAGACAGCTAACCACCCTTTTCATGTCCTTCACTTTCAATAGCCATGTCTCACAGCCATAAAGGAAGACACAGCGAATTACTTAGCAGTAAACACGCTCTTTGGTCGACAGCCGGATATCGCGTCTACTAAGCCATAGATGGTGTAAGCTGGCATATGCCAAATGAGCCTTCTGTATCCGTGCTGAGATTTCGTCAGCAATAAACCCGCTGGAGCCGGCTGATGCAACTCCCTAAAAAACGAAGTGGTCAACATGACCTACCACTTCACTCCCTATCTCTAAGCTAGGAGTCAACGTAGTCCATTCCTGTAGCATCAATTTACATAGCCTGCTGTCAGCCAGTCAGCTAGTCAGTACCACCTTTCATGATACATATACAACTTTGTGGTTAGGTGCAATTTTTTATGCATTACTTCCGAACGCTTTTCGTTAACCTTTTATTTCGTGAATTCTCTTCAACTGCATACATCCTAAAGGAAATAAATTGTAAGTTACAAAAGTCTTTCTGAACACACTTCCCACAGTGGCTTCGAGTTGCAGATAGAAAGGATAGGCGATATAGTTGCAAAAATGATGCAAGTAGACAAATTATTTAGTGCTAAGAGAGTAATTATTTATTGAATAATTAGACAAGGGGGGGGGGTAGAGTTCAGATTCATCCAAGAAATATGGATTGACTAGAGACAAAAACAAGATGAAAGAATAGAGTGAATTTATACATATTATGATAGAGAGTTCAGGAGGGTGGGGATGAATAGTGAAGTAAAATTATTAAATAGATAAAATAATTTAGCAGATTTGGAAAAGTAATAGTGAGTTCAACCCAATAAGTGAAAATTGAAATCAAAACTAAGTAGAATGTTATGCAACAGAACAGATCACAAAAATTTCTGTATGAAATAATAGTAATAACAGCTTTTTTTTCTGAACAGTGTTCATATAATCCGTAGAATTTTCAGCCGAGTTTATTGCATAATATTTCCTCTTCCTCCAGGATCTTCAAATAAAATACTAATTAACAGTACTATCTAACCTTAAGCTCAAACGAATCCATTATAATATTTTTTCTTTGTCTCCTTCAAGAAATTTACGAAATTTGGTTGAATGCCAATTGCAAAACGTTCAGGAGTATATTTTGTGAACCAATGGCACCACCAAGGAACAGTTATCTCATGTATTGGAATAAGCTGTCATCCACGATAATGCTTTTCCCCAAATTCAGTAGAGACTTGCAAATCAGCAGGTTGTAAACGTTTAAATACTCGCCAGAGTAAACACTACTATCAGAGTATTGGTTTTTTAAAGAAATTGTTTGATTGGATGGAAGATTTCCTCATGAGCTGACATCAGTTAGAGAACCACTGGAAAACCTGGGAGTACTGGACAGCTGTTTCGTCCTAGTTTGCGACTCTTCATCAGTACACACCCACCGCGAAATGGTCGCGCTATGTCGTGAATTGGCATCAGTTAGAATTCATGGGCCATTGGATCGGGTCCCAGTGACCCAATGGTCTACGAGCTCGCCTTGTAACCAGAAGGTCCTGGGTTCAAACCCCGGTGGGTGCGTACTGCTGAAGAGTCCCAAACAAGACTGACAAAACAGCTGCCTATTACTCCCAGATTTTCCAGTGATTCTCTAACTGATGTCAGGTCATGATGAAATCCTTTATCCAATACCATTAGAGGTCATATTTTATCATATTTAAACAAACTAAAGAAGAGAGACAATATGCAATATGTTGATGGAGGTTTTCAGTAGCCCAAGTCTTAGATAAGCCATTGAATGTGGCACCACTGTGACCTCAAGTGCAATTGCCAGACACCTGATTGACACGGGACAAACAGTGGGAATTATTCAGGCTTTCAAAATAATCAGTACACAAAGAAAACCATGGTTACTTCCGTTGGCAGAGGCCATTGATATCAAAAGACTCCGACCTAACCTCTGTATACAGAAAGATAGTGTGTGAGTAATCTCTCACTATCCTGATCTACCATAACTGTCCTGTTCGTGTGATTTTGTCTTTTGTTCTGTTGTACAATGTATCACTTAATTTTCATTTTGATTATCAATTACTGAGTTGAACTCACTATAAACTTTCCATTATAATTTGTACAAATTCAGTCTGCTGTTCAGTCTTGTATTTTGTCTCTTGTCTATCCTTGCTTTGAAAACTGGTTCCTTATCAACCATTTTGGTCAAAGTGTCCTTTCATCACTAGCATAATTTGATATGAACTTTAAAGCGTATCCACTTTGGATATGGTTCCTTTGGATAACTGTGAGTTTCCCTTCAATATCATCAATGTATTCTTGTTTCCAAGCGAAATGTAAACTCCACCCTGATGGTTAAATGGTTAGTTACTCTTTTAACACTGAATAATAATTCGCCTGCTTACATGATCTTTGCAATTATGTTGCTTGTACTTTCTATCTGTAACTCGAAGTCATTGTAATAGAGTGTATTCAGAAATTTTGTAACTTATAATTTGATTTCGTGTTTAGGATGTACACAGTTGAAGAGAATCCATAAAAACAAAACGAGCTCGTTTATTATCCTGCAAATATATTCTTTCTTTCTTTCTTTCTTTATTCAAACTTTTGTTTTTAATGTTAGATGTAGGAAGGGGTCAACAAACAGAAAGTTTTAATCAAACTAACTCCTGTGCTCTTTAATTGAATTTGAGATTTTCCCGTCGATTGATTAGACCGAAGTGCTCGATCTCAGGTTGACATGTCGACTACTTGTGCAGATGCTTCGACGATGTCTGGATATTTAATTAGAATTTAATTTGTGGATGGTGACTAGCAGTGTACGAAATGCGCATCTGAATTCCATTGCTAGCCACCATCCACAAACTAAAGTCCTATGCTCGTTGACGATCATCAGAAAGATACTAGTAATGATGGAATAACTAGTATCCTCAATAGGATTAACGTTTAAATCATATACAGTTGCAACGTCAGAAACTTTACCATTAGGCTGCTAATTAGGCTGAATTGCCAAACACTCATATGCAAACAAATACGGCTTATAAGTGTCGAATAGAACGAAATATGCTCTTCTTAACCTTGATTATAGGCTACAATAACAGAAAACGGCGTACAAACTTCAAGATCACGGCAGTCTTCATGTGACAACAGAAGAATATTCATACATCAAAGAAAAAAGAAGCCTATTTTCACCTTACCTGAATGTTTTTGATTTGACAAATAACCAATGACTGCGACTAGAGGCAAGATATTCCGCTGGTGTATGATACAAATTGATATCTTGTAAGTATGTGTCAAAATTTAAAATTCTGTTGAGAGAGAGAGAAAAACAATAAAAATGTAACCAAAATAGTAACATTACTGTGGAAATATAATCAAATATAACGTACCCATAAGAGAAATCTTATGGTACTATTTGTAAGTCATAGAAATGGTAACAAATATGGAATTCCTAAGATGTAGGAATAGATTTTGAATTAGTTGTTTTCTCTGGGCTGCTGAGTGATTTAATCGCAAAGCTTTCGACATCCTTCTAGACAAAATCCCCACTATGAAAAAGAGAAGACGTTCAGCGAAGAGACCGTCTTCGGCGAATCCATTCACATAGCTGTACAATCGCATTTATATACAATTATTTGTGGGTGTGTGTGTACATGAGGATTGTCAAGTCTAGATAATTGATCAGGTAATACAAGAATGATCTACTATAGAAACAAGGTTAATCAGACAGCAACTAAAGTAAAATTGAGTTAGTAAGTTAGATGACGTAATATAATTAAATAAAATGTTTCAATTTAGGTCAGGGTAGCAACAGAGGTAATTACAGGTACAGACTTAGTAGAGGTGGGATACAGAATAATGTCATTTAAATTATGACTAAAATTGAGCAAATCGATTGGATGATGTAACATAAATGACTGGAAATTGAGCGTCGGTCAAATAATTAACAGTGGCAATGAGGTGTAGAAATTAAATCGGGTGGGGGTAGAGAACAAGAAAGTTGAACATGTAAAATATTACAATTGGAAAGACAAAATAATGCTAATGAAGAGACTGAAAGAAAGAAATAGAATTTACCTATCGCGTATTAAAATAGAGTACATCCATCGCATGTGTAGTGATTGAACGAACTTCTTCTGTATGCAGAGTTCAGGACTTAGCGAGTAATTCGCCATTGCTTCAGCAGTTTGAAGAAGTCTGATTCGTACACCTGTAAGAATACTACTTCTTACTCTGTAGACGACTTCGAAGTTTGTTCGCGGAGTAGCTTGGTGTCCGGATTCTATCAGATGTTCTAAGATGGAACTGCGGGGGCGTCGATTTTCTCCTTTGTAAAGCTATGTTGGTAAGTGTTCGGTGATATGTCTGGAAAGCGAGCGCTGGGTACGGCCGACATACCTGGCTCCACACGAGCAGGTGAACTGATAAATACACTTTGATGAGGCCAGCAGTGGTAGCCTATCGTTCACGTTCACATGAATCATAGGTTTTGTGGAGAAGGTCAGTCGTAGTTCAGCTGCGAAGAAAGTCTTCTTAAGTGAGCGCGACAGTCGATTTTTTAGTGTTTCCTTTGATATATCTCCATTGAATTGAAGATTCATGTAGAGTAGTTTTCCGGGACGCTAAGCATGGGTGGCTTTTGTGGTCTAGGATTCACAGATTTTGCAATAAATCTTTCTGGATAACAATTACCGACGAGGATTCCCTTGAGATTGTTCAGGTCGTCTTCTATGGTGTCTGGGGTGCAAATTCTGAGAACTCTGAACATCCCCATTCACCACAGGTCTCAGTATAAATCGAACTCCTTTGAATTCTCCACGAATGAAGATGTAATTGTATCTCCTGGCTACCACTGTCGTGACTGGTTCTTGTTAATTTACGTCTCTATTGATGATGTTTTTATTGACATGGAATTTGAACTTTCTTGTTATGTAATTCCTTTTTTATTAGCTGGTAAATGTGGTCTATAATAGTGTGTTTGTTAATCTCTGGCTTTTTCACTTGAGTACCAGACTTCTAGGAATTTCCGGACTGCAGTTTTGATGTTTCCTCTAATTAAAATTTCTACATTATCCCAATCATCAAATTGGCGTCCATAATTATCCACATACAGTGATACGAAAGAATGTATATCACGTCTTTTTACAGCTTGTGCAATAGAAACTGTGTGCAGACATCATTTAAAAGAGTTCAAACACACTATAGCGCTACTCCTGTGTTGAACACAATGGAGGGCAAAAAGTACATAATAACCGTCTTCAAAAAGAATAAATATACTCACAATTTCATCAAAAAGATGCTTAAACTCTAGTCATAACAGCAACAACAGACCAACATCAAAGAACACAAGAAAATTCATTCTACCATATATGAAAATGCCTTTGACATAACAGTTAGAATATTAAGACCGTTTGAAATAGATAGAGCACACAAGAGAAGTAGCACAATCACTTCATTCGATATTGTGCAAACTAAAAGATCCAACAGAAAAAGATAAAATTAGTACCATTTACAAAATAAATTGCATGCATGAAGTGCAGTAAACATTACATCGGTCAAAGTGGATGTCCCCTTTGAATCCGAATCCAAGAACACAAATTAGTTGTAAAGAGACATGATATACATTCTTTCATATCAATGCATGTAGATAATTACAGACACCAATTTGATAATTGGGATAATCTATTCAAATGAAAAAGCCAGAGATTAAAAAACACACTATTATAGACCACATTTACCAGCCAATAAAAAAACGAATGACATAACAAGAAAGCTCAAATTCCATGTCAATAAAAGCATCATCAATAGAGCCGTAAATTAACAAGAACCAGTCACGACAGTGGTAGCCAGGAGATACAATTACATCTTCATTCATGGAGAATTTCAATAAGTCCATTTTATACTGAAACCTGTGGTGGTGAAGGGAGATGTTGTCTAGAAGAATGGTGAAAGCTTCATAATGAAATTAATCAGCTGAGAGAGCACAATTAATTCAACAGCTTCTGACTGTTATTTTGAGCTACTTGAAGAAATGTAACGCATCTTCAAGGACCTAGTAGAACAACCAGTATTGACAGTAAAAGATTCAACGTTAATATTGAACTGTTGGCAGTTGATATGATCGTCATCGAAGATATTTGCACAACTAACACGACCCATTGAAGTCTAACTGGTTCTAATCTTGATACTCAGCAAAACAGCACATAGTTGAAAGAAAAAACTGAACATTAAGAGAAAGTCAACCAATTGAAGACGAATATACAATAGGTGATTCCATGAAGATAATAATAAATAAATAAATAATAAGTATGACCAAATTTTCGTTTAATATTTCCTGGTGTTTTAATATTAAAATACCTGATCTTAATTCATAATAAAAAAAAAACTATTTTCAAATCTCCGATAAGCTGTTAAAAGAGGTCTTCACAGGAATAAACTCAAACTGAATAACCAAGTTGCATGAAATATATTTTATCAAGCTGGCAAATCTATTCTAGGTGTTGCATTTGGTATCTAACAAAAGCTTAGCTCGGTGAACAAACAAAAAGGATTTCCCTCAAGCAATCTGAAAATATGAATGATTATATCATTTAATGCCTTGCAAAATACTACCTACATATAAGTGATCCACGCCATCTCGATATCATCACACAGAACCAGAATAATATATGACCAGTAAGTTCTATATTGGCTTCCATGATTCTTGTCCACTAAACATACATCAGTAAGGTCTAAAACCCTAGTTCTTTTGCTAAGCGAACTATTACTGAAGTCAAATTTCCATCACAAACTAACATCAGTTAGAGTAATAATTGAAAACCATGAAGCCAACGAATAGATTTTCCCTCCTTGTTTGGAACTCTTCGGCAGTGCACATCCACGACTCCTCCGAGGACCGTACCCGGAACCTTCAACCGACCATTGGGGTCCACCAAGTTGAAGTGAAATGAATAGCCTCCAAAGACATTGATGACGGAACCACTGTATCACGAGGTGACAAAGTTACAGTTCACAGGTTATTGAATTCCAGTTCAAGTAGCTAAATGGTCAATGAGCCCGGCCTCGTAACGTGAAGGTTGTGGATTCAATTCCAGTTGCGGCCGATGATGCTCACTGATGAAGAGCCCCAGAATAGGACGAAGCAGCTGTCTAGTACTCCGTGGTTCTCCATGATCTCTCGAACAGATGTTGGATAGTGAAGACAAGCTTACGACTGTGACTAGTCCAAAATTCTTATAAATCCTATAAGCTGAGGAATCAGTGAAGTGATAGGGAATGATGTTGACAGTTGGAAAAAAAAAAAACAGTAAATCACTGAATCCGACCTTCTGTCTATGACTAATTGTCTTCCAGCATTTGTCCACTAATATTACAACAAGAAATTAGGTAGAATAACGAAACTGTAATATTTCTTTGATGTTTGCATCCTGCCTGTATAATTCGCTGTACTGATAAACTGTTTATGATGTTTGCAAACAATACATATTTGGTGGACATTAGAAAAGTTGCAGTGGATTCACCGGGTTAAAAATCAGCCGCAAACAGGGGGGAAAGGACCCAAAAGCTAGTAACTATGATCCAACGACTGAGTGATGATTGAAGTCGGCATTTCAGTGAAATAAGTTGCAGTAAATTTCACAACCTGCAATAACCCATTCCCACTCATGTGGTCCGGGGTTCGATCCCGGGTTGACGCCCTCCTTCACCTCGCTAAGTCGGTAATAAGACTGATAAGGAGGAAAGGTTGGGCATAAGGCAGGCTAACAACCCCATCTCGTAAAAATAAATACTACTGCTACCGAAACTTCAAACCTCTAGCTTGAAGCCCTATGTCCCACTGGGAAAGTAAAGGAATAAAAAAAAATTTCCCACATCTCTGCTATTTGCGTTGTGTCACTTCTGTTGCATGTGTTGGGTGTAGACTCGACGAACTAGGAATCAGAAATCAATCTCTCTCCACTCACCTACCTGTATTACTTTTAAGAATTTTGACTCTCTCTCACCCATTCTATTGTGTGGTTGTGTGTTAATGCATGCATTGCAATTGCTGAGCTTTTTTCTCAGAACTACTTATCTTCGTGCGGTCAGTCATTCTAGCCTAATCTAAATTCATATGTTCTGGCAATCTTACTACCCCCGATCTACTAGTTTGACCTGTGTAGTTGACCTCACTCACAGTCATTACAAGGTACTTTGTCAGAAGAAGATAAGTGAAACTGAAATGGGAATTCAGGCTACAACAGATTTTTGAACATGATATCCTTCTGTGACTCGTCCAATGCTTTAACCACTGTAGAAATAGGTCTTACCAACAAACAAACACTTGGTGGTAAAAAAAAGTGAGATTTACTTCTGATCTGTGGTGCTAAAATATAAAGATACATAACTAATTGACCAAAAAACGACTTCTTGCACTTCGCTTTAGTCTACTGTTAGAGTTATTAAGACTGCATAACCGATGCATCAGCAGCCAAAGATAAAGTGGGAAGTCATGACTAATGGGGTGTAGCAGGTCGGGCGCGGGAAAAATTACTCGCCGCCAATGACAGTCGCTAGTGCCAGTCGCGCCATATCTTGAATTGGCAGAAGTTAAGATTCATTGACAGTTGGATCGGGTCCCAATGGCTTAATGGTCTAAGAGCTCATCTTGTAACCAGAAGGTCCTGGGTTCAAACCCTAGCGATGGATGCGCACTGATGAAGAGTCACAGACTAGGGCAGACGAAACAGTGCTCGTAGCTAGTTTTCCAATGATCCTCTAATCGATGTCAGTCCGTTGTGAAATCCTGAAACCAATCAAATCTCTGCAAGCTAACACTTTAAAGCCAAACTAAGTCAACTGACGTCCAAGTCGGTAGTCTACTGGTGGATAGTATGAGTTAGAGAATATTAAACGTATGCATAGTTGAGAAAGGTTATAAACGTTATTTTCACTGCTTAAATTTCTTGTGTTGTATTTGATGTAAATGCAATTAATTCCCAGCGATTAATTTAAATTTATTGTCTGTCTCATACGTCAAGGAGAATTATAATACCAAAAAAAAACATTTCTGTATATTCGGGGGGAACTTTTGAACTATTCAAACTTTAAGGAAAACTCACTAAGTGTATATGAGATGAGTTAAGTTTGAATGATACCTTGTTTTACTTATAGAATGACAAAAAATATCAGTTACAGTGACAAACGTTAGCGGATTGATTTTTAAGAGAACATTCCTCCCCCCTTCCCGAGGTAATAAGTTGGTAATAACATCTGCTAAGTCGCTACAGCACTCCGGTCGCTTTAACGACGAGTACAGGGTTTAAGCCTCAAGGGGAATATCATCACTCTCCGGGATTTCAAGTACGCCTAGCTAACGATCCTGACATATGTCGTAACGCATGTACTAGGTCCTAGTGCTAGCCACCATCAATCAAATAACACTCTGTTAACAACCAGATGTCGTCGAAGTGTCTGTACTAGGAGCCGACATGCCAACAGAGAAGCAACCAACGGGGAATACAAGACAACTTCAAGAAACGAATAATGACGAAATCGAATATCCAGTATATGACAAATTTCGATACTTACACGTTAACAAACATATTTAAAAGTTATCTGATAAGTTGTAATGGAGGAACATCTACGAGTTTAGAGACACCTTTTTAGTTAATCAGGACAGTTGTAAAGTTAATGATTATTCGACTGGTTTCACTCCTGATATTGTAACAAAACGGTACCAGCCAGAAAAAAAAAACATACTGAAAGCAAGTGGGGTGTCAGCCAGTAGAATAAGTTCCATCTATCCAAACAAATTTTTCCTTCCTACGATTTACCAACTAAGATTTGATGACATTGTCTTTAGGACAGTAGGATTTCGAAAACATTGAGGCTTTTGTTGAGGAGCAAAACTGGGCAATAACGAAAAGTGAAATGCGATCAAAACTACTGACCGAGAATTAGGTTACTATAAGGTTAGATATATGCAATTGACTAGGTCATGTTAACCAGCAAAACAGAAAACAACACCAATCATCAGATAAGAAATTAAATTATAAGTAAAGAAAGAATACAAACTATCGCAGAGATTTCCAACTATTTTACTTTTACCTTTTTCAGATTGTATAGTCCAAAAAAGAGGTTATATAGAAACTTTAAATTCATGGATAGTTATACACCAAGTGAATGTACAGCCGCATATAATTTGAAACTGAATTACGTTCAAGGCATATGCGATTCGGTTGCTGTATGTTATCAACAAGTGTTACTCAACAATCACTTGTCAATGAGCCACACTTATTGCATGAGGGCTGACAATACTGCCATGAACTCCCCGAACCTCAGTGAGCGAAGCAGGGCTCAAACCCACGACCCACTGGTTCGGAGTCGAGCGCCTAGACCAATGAACAATAGCTCCGCCTGCATTGTAACCGACCCAACTATCTATCCGCAAAGAACAATCAAAGCCAATAATAATAATAAGATTAACTGATATTAGATGGTTGGAGGTGATTGGCAGGAAGTCCTGCTTGGACCTAGGTTTTGTGCTAGTTAGCACTCACCAATCAGCAAGGCACGCGTATCTGCAATCTTGAAGGAACTCATGTCCCTTCTGAAATTCGGACCTGAATCACCCAGTGCCACAGTCAGAGACGTCACCACTGGGCTATTCGGGCTTGCGATTGACCTCCTGTAGGACTGTATTAGATATTTTTGATTGGACATTAGTTAGTAACTAGTGTAATGTGTCTAGTCTTGTCTTTGAAGCAGACTGAATTCTATCAGTCACGCTGGCAATGTGACCACTATTCTGGGTGGCCCATCATCACGGTGCACTCTGAATAGTTGATATTAGATTCATGTAATCACAAAAGTTGGTAACAGACAACTTCAACGTAATTATCTAATTTTTAATTATGCGATTCGTTCGAAAAAGCTATTTATCAGAGCCGCTTATATGCAATCAAGTGTTCCAATAAAAAAGTAGGTTTCTTTGAGAATTTTATGCAGGTTTTACCTATGAATGATTTCGCATACGTGGAAAAAGGTTCTAGTGTAGCCTGGGTTATTTACGACAATCTGAAAGTATACTTGTGATATCTTCTGCAAGAATCTTCATATCATGACCTCACTCCCTTTATCGGGGAGCGGGAGGGTTGATCGGATCTTGTATAACACATTGAAGGATGTCTAAAAATTCAACTGAGTTCACAAGATGTTTTTGACATAGCTGAAGTATTCGCGACCCAAACAGAAATTCAAGCCAACGTTATGTACCCAAAAGATGTACGTTCAGCCCTTGTCTTTACCAGAGACATCATAATCACGCTAATTCTCTCAAGAAAATCATTAATATTTTCAATAGTTGGTTTGTAAGGATTGGATATGATTTCACGAGTTGATCACGGATTGATATCAGTTGAAGAACCATTGAAGACAAGTCAGGAGTACTGGACAGCTGTTTCAACCTTCCTAGTTTGGGAAACATCGGCAGTATGCACTCACCACAGGAGTTTTAACCCAGGACCTTCCAGTTACAAGGTAAACTCGTATACCATTCAGCCACTGGGACCCGATTCAGTGGCCAGTCCATGAATTCTAACTTTTACCGATTCGTGATTTAGTGTGACCACCAATCAATGTTATCTGTGGGACATGTTTTCAATGGTTCTCTAACTGACATAAATATTTTATTGTGGTTATCATTCAAATTTCCTATTCATTCTCTATCTTTATTTTGGTTGCTATTTATATTACATAGCTTCAGAAATAGTTCTGGTGCTTTCTCATAAACATACAGCCTGGTTGTTAACTTCGTCCTGAATGAAAATCTTCCTTCTCCACAATCGTATTTTATCTCTCCCAGGATCTAATTGATATATTCCATTGATTTTGCAAAGTAATTACTTACCTGTGTCCAACACCAACAAGCTGGGAAATATCACTCGACAAGTCGATTAATTTTGTCAGTTTATTAATAAGATAAAGTAGGAAGAAACTTGTCTAAAAATGAGGAAAAAAAATCAAACAACAAAGGATGAAAAAATCATTTACATATTCATCTCATTACTGATGAAAGGAGATAAAATAAAATAAGCAACAATAGAAGTATTAGGTGATTTTATTCAATGGGGAAATGGGAGTCTAGCTCGAAATCCGTCACATCATGCAATACACCGATATTTGTCTGTCAATCCAAGGTGATACCAGATCGTCTCAGCACTGACTAACATTAGAAGCAGTTAGAAGTGAGATTAAACCGCACAAAGATACTAGCAGGAAGTATCGGATTAACGAGATTTTGAAGTCATGGGGGGAAAGCTAGTTTCTATTTAATGTCCCGCATTCCTCTTGCTATTGAGTCCCAATAGACACTGCTTCCCAAAAGTCAACATCTAGCATTAAAACACAGTATACTGAATTGTTGGGTTTTTTAGAATCGTAGCAGTCATATTACAAATCTGATGGGTATATAATCAACCATGGAGAAGAACTGAAGCTAAGGTGGGTGCTCTTAGTGTTGTCGTGTTCCCTGAGGTGGTTAGTTTACATGCAGAACTTCTATTGTCCTTCTAGAAAACACCTTAACCGCCAACTTTAACGTGAAAATCAATCAGTTTACTGAAACTCTATGAGCATAAATACAGTCCATCATTATTCCCTTGGATTCCGAGTAGAATATAGGGCTTCAACAAAACATCTCCAGTTCGTTTTATTTTCTCCTGTCCACTTTAACTGGACTATCGATCAAACTCTCCCATCTCCTCCTCGTCACACAATCTCCTCCATGTCACCCTCTCACCAACGACCCACTCGTCGGTTCCCATTCGGATTCCGCACGAGGTATCGCCTGGCGCGCAATGTCATTCTACTGCTTCCTCAACGTATGCCCAATCCATCTCCATTTCTCCTACATATCTGTTGGGCAATCGTTGATTTGTTGCCAGCCAGAGTTTCTTGTTACTAATTCTTTCTGGCCTGCCGGCCATTTAACCTTCAGTATGGAACCAGCGAAGATGGCAGCTAATGATTCTAGTCTGTAACTTGTTGGAAATCCTTTTCGTGACATGTCCCCCATGTTTCTAACCCATATAGAAGAACTGACTGAATTCACATTTGTGTTGAATAGAATCGGAATCTTGTTTTTATCGCCGCGGAGTGCAGAAGATTTCCAAACTGGTTTCAGGTTGATGGAGGCGTATTTTGCCTTTCCAATTCTGACTGGCTTTCACATTTTCATCCATACCCTCCGTTGGCTGTGATTGAGACCGTGCTTCCTAGATAAGCGATGAAAGTTACCTCTGTCAAATATCTTCCGTTGATGGTGACTGGTGCTGACTGTTGTTGCTGTTGCAGCCTAACACTTAAAACTCACCAAGTAACTACACTGTTTATGAGCATCTCCCGGTCATATTGTTTTAATCAGTCGTTTTGTTTGGAAATATTAGTTTGTGGTGTAAAAATACCCACAGAAGAATGTCAATTGGCTGACAGCTTTACTTTTCAATATTTGTTTACTCAGAGTACAGTGACAATCAAAAGATGACCATGACAAGTAAAGAAATTTAGCTTTTAGAGTAAATAATTCACCCCTTTACCCTGCATAGTTCAATGTCTACTTGTCCGGTAGCCAACTAAATGACTTCATAAACAAATCACTCGAGAATAATGCAATATAAATGCAGGAGTTGGAATTCACGGGTGACTAGATCGGCTCCTGGTCGGAGAATGATCTACGAGCTTGCCCTGTAACTGAAAGGTCCGAGGTCCGAACTCCTGCGGATGCGTACTGATGAAGAGTTCCAAACTAAGACAAAACAGCTGTCCAGCATTAATCCCTGACTTTCCAATGCTTCTCTAACTGATGTTAGCTCGTCATCAAACCTGTGACCAATCAAAACCCTTCAAACTCACACTTGAAAACAAATACATCCAATCAATTAGTGATCATAATAGGAGAAGTAGCCAGTAAAATCATTTCAGGGAATTCTAAATTTTAAAAAAAACACTTTATTGAAAACACCCAAAAACAACCAACTAAGTAATCTTATTTTAAAAAATTTACCTGACTGATTAAAACAGTAATTTCAGAAGCTGACATTTCTCGAATTGGACCATTGAACAATACAATGCCAAGTACCACATAGTTTAATACACCGCCACAGTAAGCATTAAGTTGAGTTAAATCTAAGTCGAAATTTCAGACACAAAAGAACAAATGCAAGATTAATTTTAATTGAAAGCAAAAACAAAAGATAAGATTAAAACTTCAAAATGTTGACAACTCGTTCATTTATTATTATTATTACTTATTATCATTGTTTCCTTCAGTTCCTAGAGGAACATAGGTTTTCAACAGCACCTACCCACTGTGTTCGGTTCTCCGCCAACATTTTCACCTGGCTCTACGTCTGCCCACATGCTTTAATCTCCTTTTTTCATGACCTCCTCCTACATGTCACCCTCTCACTGACGACCAACTCACCGTTTCCCATTCGGGTTCCACTCGAGTGATGGCCTGGCGTGTGATGTCACTCATTTGATGATTTGCTTTCTCAGAGTATGGCCTCTAATCCACCTCCATTTCTTCCTGCATATTTCTTGCACAATCTGCCCCTGCTTAGTCGGTTCGCTCATTTCCAGAGATCCCTCCCTGTTTCTGATCTTTTCTGGCCGATTATCTGATCTTGAGTAGTAATGAGCGAAGATAGCTGTCGATGAAGGTCTGTAACTTTTTTGAAGTGCCCTTCGTGAGGCGCTGGCCAAGTCTCTGATCCATATAGTAGCACTGACTTCACATAGGAGTTGAAAATCTGGATCTTATTTTTCATCCTGAGAGAAATGAAAGCTTGCCTTGCTTTTCAGATCCTCGCTTTGATATCCTCATCAGTCCCGTCCGTCTGTAATTGAAACGATGCTTTCCAAGTAGGTAAAGGAGGTTGCTTCATTTATTTCTGAGTAATTAAAAATAATCAGTAGGAATTTGTGCTTGACTAAGAGTTTTGATGAGATGATGGAGACGATTTGTGCATCAATTGGATGGTCTTGGTGTAATTGTGTTCTGTGAGATGGATGATTTAGTTGTAAAGCTTTGACTATCTGTCTAGATAACATCTTCAGTGCAAACGTCGACAAAATAGTCACTTTGATGAAAGACGTCACTTCCTTCACCTATCTAGGAAACATCGCTTCAACTCAGGCAACATCACGGATGAGGATGTCAAAACAGACCAGAATCGAAAAGTCAAAACAGACCTTCATCACTCTGAAAACAATTTGGAAATCTTCTGTACTCAAAGTGAAGAACAAAGTTCGGATTTTCAACATCAATGTTAAGTCGGTCAGCCAGTTCATCTATATGGATCAGACACTTGGCGTGCCACCAAAAGCATTTCCAACAGCCTTTTGCAGAATTTATTCATCAGCAGCTGCCTTCGCTAGCTCCACCGTGAAGATCAGATGGCCAGAAAGAATTAGCACACCAAGCAATCACTCAGATAGAACCCTGGTGAGCGTTTAAGGGTGACATGGAGAAAATCGTGTGAGGGCAGTCATGGAGCCAGATTAAAAAGACTGAATAAAGCAAGACAAAATGTAGATGTACTGTGGAAGCCCTGTGTTCCACACGAAAGCCAATTGAATAATCGTATAATAGATAATGAGAAAATCTCCAGAAACAACCGGTCACACTCAACATTTTCAGTAGAGATAACTCATAAGCCCGTAGAGAATCCTAAAAGCTCACTTCATATTGCAGTCTGTGCTTTAGATGTTGTCTAGAAGGATAATCAAAACTTCGTAGAGTGAACCACTCAGCTCAGAGAACACAACTACACAAAAAAGAAGTTCACTATTATTATTATCTCTGTTAATGATGGTATCTTCATAACTTCAAATTCCAGAAGTGAATAATTGTGTCACACAACTTTTTCAATATCCACAGTATAACACTGATGGTCAGTTTGCATATTCATTCCTGCATAGTTAACTTTCTTGAATTGAATACTAAACACTGTAATCCCTTACATGTTACCTGCAATTCCATTGATCTTACTTTACAAATCGATATTATTAAAAAAAACATTAATATTGTTATTGGCTACTAATCTAGAATATTCTATGTACATAAACATTTATATACTTGTAGAGCGAGAAGAGGAAATTATCGAAAAGGATATTCTTTGCTCAATTATTTCGTGTTTTATAGATGTTTAAATGAATTTTTTCGCTATATTACAAAAGACCCTATGCAAGGATGACTAAGGATAAATACTCTAAAATACTCTATTTGCCCCCCCTCCCTTTTTGTGCGATGACAAGACTGTTAGGTATGAAACTATTAACCTACTGTGAGACAGTAAGTAAACCTCCGTTTTCATTCTTTCAGCCATTAATATAATGATGTTAATATTTAGATTAATTTCTAATTTTACTTTTACATCAATATTCTTTACTGACATTTTTATCAATGTAAATGCCCTGTTAATTGTTTCCCTCTGTGTTATGAAAATGTAGACAGAAGATTAGATGGAATATTGTATTGCATGCTGCAAACTCCGCATTGTATCAGAGGTACTAATTGGAATAAAGGCGTTATTAGTATTCACCTAATGCTTATTTATGACGACCAAACAAAGGATTGACTAGCAATGGCTACATAGATACAAATAATACGAGACAATGTTTTGAATACAGAACTCAGAACTCTTAATTTATTTGCCGTGTCCACAATTCATTTATCAAATTATTCCAAGAATAGAAAACCAACAAAATCTGACAGGTCAAATTTATAAGTTGGTTGCTTCCTAGTGGCCAGTTAGTGCAAGCCGACCGTGGGACTAATTAGTTCAATAATAAGGTCTCTAATTGCAGTACTGGGTAACATAAGTGAGATTATCCAGAAGGGAATTCATTCTCATGAGTCTACAGATAAGTCTTACTGATGAGTTGTCAGTCTACACAATAATCAGGTCCAGCGCTTCCTGCTGCTTGCCTCTGACTAATTGTTTCCCTAATTAATTGACAACTACTGCAAAAAACAGAAATAATAATTGAGAATCCACCTCAAATATTTTATACACTTTTACTAGTTTTAGAGCAATGATTTAGGTTGATTCGGATCATACAAACTAAGTATTCAGGCAGAGTAACTTCTTCGGTGAACTGACATTTTACAGCTAGCATGCATAGAAAGAAACTCAGCTACAATACTTTATGCAGTTAAACACAATCATTCAACAGGAAGGAGTGAAGTGACAGTCTATCAAAGTTCAAGAGAGAAATTCATAACTAAAGCTTTCTTTATCGATATATATCAAATATCTTTATTCCTTTACTTTCCCAGTGGAACATAGGGATTCAAACTAGAGGTTTGAAGTTTCAGTAGCAGTGGTGTTTATTTTTACGGGATGGGGTTGCTAGCCTCATGCCCAACCTCTCCTCTTTACCAGTCTTATTACTGGCTTAGCGAGATAAAGCAGTGCGTCTGTGGTCGGGGATCGAATCCCAAACCACCTACGTGGTTGGCGAGGATTCTACCGTTGTGCAACCAACGCACTTTTAAACCATGGAGTACTAGACAACTGTTTCCTCCGTCCTCGTTTGGGACTCATCAGCAGTACACACCCACTGGGTCTCAAGCCCACGACCTTCCGGTTGGAAGGCAATCTCAAAGACCATTCAGCCACTGGGATCCGCAATTTTTGTATGACAGAACATCTATCCTTAAGACAAATGATAAAAAAGGAGAACTAGAACTAGGAAGAATGACACGTCATCTAGTGAATATCGTCTCTCCAGGTGATCTATGCGATAAACAAACTAATAGAGAGTTGCAAACTACCACTGTGTTCAAGTGTTACACATTTATTAATAGTGAAAGGTTTAAGCTATAACTTTAGCCACAGGGAATACATAAGAATTTCTTTCTCCCTCTTTTATGATTCATCAGTATAACTGATGTCAGTGAATATTGAAAAACCTTTAAAAAATAACAATTCTATTTAATAAAAATCGATACAATATACTGAAATAATTAAGAAAGCTTACAGAATACAACAGAATTTCGATTAATAAAAACTCGTATAGCATGAAATAATTGATTGAATGAATTCGATGAAATGACATTAAGCGATTCACCAAAATTAAGAAATGCTGCACTTTCAACTGAACATCGTAGTTTAGTGTGAATAAATCTATTAGAGGAAAAATTAACAGACAGCAGATTGACTAATAGTAATTGAAAGACACTATGACATTATACTTTCTACTATGCATGTGAATATATATATGCATAGAAATAACCTGATATAAGTGGAAAATACATTCACATATATACGCGTAACAATTCGGCATAAACGGCTAACCAAAAAAGAAAAAACACAACTCGAATTCATTCTTTTTCAGAAGTTGAATAAGCAATCACAATGATGAACATTTATTCGAACCACTTTTGGCACCCTTAAGCGGTATAACTTTAATATCATTTATTCGCGAGGCGATGAGATACACAATGTATCCAGATTCGAACCAGTGATTTATCTGTTTACAGTTAAGTGGTCAGACGAATAAGATTTCATGTTGAGGCTAGCGGTGAGGATGTTGCCGAGAAGGTAAGTGAAGACCTCACATTTAAACACATACCTTCATGTTTCTTCTCTATCAGTCTTATAAGGAAAACAACTAGAACATCTGGAGTCTGATAATATACTCAGCGTTTCAGTGTTAAGATTACGTTCATCAGATGTTGGAAACTAGATGTTACTTGTGTAACAACAGAAGACAAGGGCAAGGCAACAGACCGTTTATTAAGGAAATCAACACATATTTATATATTTTCATGTACATTATTATGGATTATTTAAACAAACAAACACAGTCCTCTGATTGATTGTTTCTCATTGAAAATTAATCTTTCGTCTCTTTGTGGCTGTTTCTTGAATGTCAGATCATCTATATGCTAACTGTATCCGCTTACGCAAAGTCTGTGTTCTCATTTTTCTCACGATCAATATTGGGGACATAAGCATTGACGTAAATTACTGTCTACCAAATTTGGCTAACAGCCAGCTCTCACCACACTTGTCAAATTATTTAACTAATTAGAACCACCTTGTTAAGAGAGTTCGACACTTCTGAACTGACTAGATCTGATTTGTGCATATTTTGTAAGTCTTTTCCCATCGGTGAGAAAATATTAATATTCGTTTACAATTATTAAATAATATATGACAATGGCAAAGTTATGTGTACTTATCGATAATGTTTTGAATGTGTCTTAATTAACCGAAATGACGCAGTTTCGTTTATATTATTATTATTATTATTGTTTCCTTTAATTCCTAAAGGAACATAGGGGCTTCAGCCACACGTCTTCATTGAGTTCGGTCCTCCACCAACGTTTTCATCTGGCTCCACGTCTGCGCGCATGCCTTCTTCTCCTCTTCGCATCACCTCCTCCATGTCACCCTCCCAAAGACAATCAACTTGCCGCTTCCCATTAGTCTTCTACTCGAGCGATGGCCCGGAGTGTAATGTCACTTGATGGCTTTCTCAGAGTATGGCCAATCCAACTCCATGTCTCCCTGCATACTTGTTGCACAATCGGTTCCTTCTGGGTTGGTCTGTTTCCAGAGATCCCTGTTGCTGATTTTTTCTGGCCGACCATCTGATATTGAGTAGTATTGAGCGAAGATAGCTGTTGATGAAGGTGTGTAGTCTGTCCGAAGTGCCCTCCGTGACGCGCTGTCCAAGTCTCTGATCCGTATAGTAGCACTGACTGACTTCATATTTGAGTTGAAAATTCGGATCTTACTATTCATGCTGAGTGCTGTTGATCTCCACAAAGACTTGAGAGTGATGAGACCTTGCTTTGCTTTCTCAACATATTGTAATATTTGGTTTTTGATGAAGGTAACTAAACGATATAACTAAATGCTTTTTTCGAGAACTTGTTTTTCTAGCTCAAGTGTAGGATCACTCTGTAGCACGAATTACCTAGAGGTCATACTTGACTAAAAACCGTTGGCAGAATTTGTGCACAAAAGGAGCACAATTCATTTCATTGAGAAGAAAGACATTGGTTACAGGATTTCCTCATGAGCTGACATCAGTTAGAGAACCATTGAAAACCAGCTGGGAGTACTGGACATCTGTTTTGTCGACCTAGTTTGGGACTCTTCAGCAATACGCACCCACTGCCAGGGTTAAAATCCAGGACCTTGCGATTTCAGGGCGAGCTCGTAGACCATTAGGCCATTGGATCTGGTCCGAGAGAGTGGCTTAGTGGTCTACAAGCTTGCTGGCCTTGTAACCAGAAGGTCCTGGGTTCGAACCCTGGAGGTGGATGTGTAGTGCTGAAGAGTCCCAAACAAGGCTGACAAAACAGCTGTCCAGTACTCCCAGCCGGTTTTTCAAAGGTTCTCAAATTGATGTCAGCTCATGATGAAATCTTCCAACCAATCAAAAAAAATCCCTACAAAAACAATTATTGAAAAATGATCCTTAAAGAACATGGACTACAATGGTGATTGTATCTCTGACATTCTTGCTTCTTAAAAAAAATCAACACGGTAGATGTACGACGACATGCTCACTACAAAACCCCAACCACCTTCGGTTGGATGAAAGTTGAGATCATCAGAATATACTGCTGAAGAGTGTAATATTAGCAATGAAGCAGTTATCCAATCTCCCTTAGATTTTAATGGCACTGGAATCAACTATTGCCCCACAAATGAGCAATTTAGTGATTATGTTAAATATATGCCATACTTCATACTGGTTTTATCTAATCAGTCACAGCCTTTCTGACTGCTACTTTGAAGATGATTGGAAGTAGGGAACCGAGAATTCGATGGAATCATTTCAAAATTTGTTTCAAAAATCCATTTTTGTCTACTTTATACAACAGTTCAATTTCACTCAACTTTTCCTGCAAACTTGTGCAAATATTTGTTGATCAAGTGTTGGTTTGCAGGGATTTGATTGGTTACACGTATCATAACTAGCTGAAATCAGTTAGAAAACTATTAGACAGTTAGAGAGTATTGAACAGTTGTTTCGCCCTAGTTTAGTACTCTTCAGTAGCATTCTGTGGTTTTAAACGACACAATTGTCCGAGTCAGTTGAAAATAAAATTCCACAATACTAAAAATAAAAATAATATGGAATGGTCTAAACGACGTTTGTATACTGAGAAGTAAACTGAGAATGCCTTATTCGACTGTGAAACAGAACAAAAGCATCCGTACTACTGCCATCGTCTTTGTGCTATGAAATGTTGCCTATAGTTACTAAAAATAACTGTATATCATTAGTCTTACACAGTGCACAGTGACACCCATGGGATTTATAGACTAAACAAGTCTCTTGGTCTAATGATAATGGAATTAACAGCTAAAATGCAGCATCAAACTCTAACATGATGAACGAGATACACTCATAGCCTATTTGGTTGGCTGTTGGCTTTTGCCCATTATAAACAAAAACTGACCCAAAGATTTGCACTGCAGTAATACAGAAATAAGTCAAAATAAGCAACATTTTAAGGAACACTTTTAACCCTTTCGTCAATAAATATCTGAGTAAGAAAGAAATTTTTCTCCAAAACGTTAAAAACACATTTTAAAAGAAGTAAAATATATTTACCTGAAATTCCCTTCTTGTTTTTGATGTTCATATGATGCTGATGAACTCCATGAGGCGAAAAATCGAGTAATCAAAGCAAATATAGCGAATAGGATATACGCTGAGATTGGACCTAACCAACCAGCTCTAGATTAACAGACAGGTTAGTTAGTTAGATAATCAAAGATTAAACACACAAAACAAAATAATTACTTGTTTACACACATATACGTGTAGAATATAATCAATAGGGGATTTAAAGCCACCGACACAATCACTTTAGTGAGTAGATCACAGACTACATTAATATCTTGAGTAATTCGTTGATCACTGGAAAGGAAGAAAACTAAAATGATTATACAGTGACTCTGACTTACGGATTGTCTATATCGATTAGTGTATTTAGAACATAGAAATTTCTCCGTTTGAAATAAACATTTTGTAAAGATTTTGTTAAAACTTCACGAAGGATAAGTGATAAATGTCCCATGACCATATTTTGTACACCTAATGCCTAATAAATGAAAAAGACAAACAAACGACATCAGGTAGAATTCAACCCATTATCAAGTTTGCCAAAGCAATCTCTATCAAACGCCTAAAACCTGATTAATGTGTTCAGAAAGAAGCAGTCATCAGTCTTTCCTTGTCCTGCAGCCTGGCAACCAAGTGTCTTTACTCTTTCTCTTTCATTTAACTATGTAATCTTTGGCTTTAAACTCACTCCCCATCACTACCACCTTTGATATAATGTAATTTTGCTTGTCTCTTGTTTCCGTGATTTGAGATGTATTCACTACATTGTTACCCAATTTATTAGTCACTCATCATCTTACTTACCTCTCTCCTTTATTACGTAACTCCTTTAACATTGTATGCATACATTTATTTTTGTTTAAACTTGAACTCCCTGGGTAAAAACTATATGAGTTAAATTTTCTGAGCACTATTCATTAACTCCGGAGCCTCCTGTCAACTGTCATCATATAAAATTTGCAAGTGAGTTAAAACTTTTCTGTACATAAAGTTAATCATAATTTTACTTAGGCTGTAAGCAGCCAGCTGATGAGAAGGCAATGAAATAAATGATGGTACCGTATTATTTCTGCGAAAACTGTTGTTCTTGCTTTATTCAAATTCGTAAAGGCGATTCATAAATGTATGAAGTTTCATTAAAATTGTCTTGATATGATCTATACACTGGTGACTCATCAATATTGATTTTTCGCACCTGCATGATTACTGATTTTTCGCACCTGCATAATCGAATTTACTGAATTTCCATTGATGGTTAATATTTTTAAAATGTGACATTGATTTTCCTAACTGTATAAATACGGAGTTTTGTTGACATTTTTGACTGTTGTAGAGACAGTAGAAGCTCTCGTATCAACGTCCAGTCTTTCTTAGCCCGGCGGTATTGTTATGAATGCTGATTAAACGCTGGTATTCTTCACCGACGTCTTTCAAAGTCATTCGTGGATCTTGTTTCAGACGATTTAATAGGCGTGTGCGTATGTCAGCAAATTCGGGGGACTGTAAACCACCAATGAAAATTAATACCTTGAACTGGTCTTCTGAGAGCGATTTCAATTTAAAACGTTCACACGTGCGATTGACTATACCCAACTGAGTATGGATATCATCATTTTCGTTCAGAACTAGTTTCATGCAATGATATCGAATGTTGAATAACTATCTCTGATCACCAAACTGATGACGAAGGGTATGGACAGTTTCATCGAATGATCTTTCACTGGGCTTCTGTGGCAGAATTAAGTTGCAGTATTTATCTAGCTCATCTGCTCCCAATTTACGAAGTAGAAGCCGTACTTTCCAGGCATCATCTTTATCCGCAAAGTCTACTCGAAATAGGTCTTCATATCTGCGAAACCACGTATCAAAAGTCACGTTCGCATCTGGATCAGAAACGAATTCTGAGATGCTACTACCTATGCTGTCGTTGGCTGTAGATGAATCGGCAGGGCGTGATATCTGTAGACCAGCAAGCATTTCCATCATTTCTAGCTGCTGTTCCATTAGTTTCTCTAAACGCAGTGGGTCCATCTTGAGCAAATCCGTCGCCAAATTTGTTATGTATGAATATTATGACCTTGTAGACCACGAGCGTATCTAACTTAATGCGCTGGCTAATCTGTCCTAATCGCACGTCAAGAACAACAATACCGCCGGGCTAAGAAAGAAGACTGGACGTTGATACGAGAGCTTCTACTGTCTCTACAACAGTCAAAAATGTCAACAAAACTCCGTATTTATACAGTTAGGAAAATCAATGTCACATTTTAAAAATATTAACCATCAATGGAAATTCAGTAAATTCAATTATGCAGGTGCGAAAAATCAATATTGATGAGTCACCAGTGTATGTATCATGATAAAATTCAGTGAATGTACTAGTTTTTTTAAAAGTTTCATTAATTGCTTATATTTCTTGTATTCATTTAGAACTCTTACCTAATTTCGTATTATCTACTTTGTTCCTATGTGTATCTTGAGTACAACTCAATCATCAAACTGTTCATATTATTACGTAACTTCTTTTTAACAAGTGTTTGTGACAACTCATCACCTTTGTTACTACACTAGCTCAATTAACATCCAATTTTCTTGACTGTTTTTGTATGATGTAACTCCACCCAAAACTTACCAATTTTCACCTGTTTAGTTAAAACAACCAAAACCAATTGTATTTTTGTTTGACGAACTTAATGTAGACATGCATACAAAACAAATCATATATATTTGCGATTGGACAGCTAAGAAGATGAATCCTTCGAAAAGAGACTCTTCGCTGAACTACGTATTTTGTTTTCATTAATGCCTGGATGGGAATTATCCATGAAAAAACAGAGATTTAAAATACATAATATTAAGTGTATATCTTCCTAATCATTCAGCTGCCACCACCGGCTGCACAACCTCTATGCGATTAGTCAAGATGGATGAGGCGAAAAGGACTAAAGACGTCTCACCACCAGTTCCTACCGTAAGACAGTAAGAAATATTGATTGAAGAGACCTACTGCAAGTCTTATAGGGGTAAACAAGGCAGAAAGACTCATCCACAAGGTAGAATATTTAAACAAGTAGAGATGGATAATACTTTAATATCAAATTAATAATTAATTTTACAACAGACGATAGGAATGATGATTGCAACTGTCCATTTCGCACAGATATAACTATTAACTCGAAATACAAAGACAATTTCAAGTTCGGCATAAGGATGAAGACTGTTTGATGCCCCCATACCTTGAGATTTCATCTTTAACGTTTAACAACAAAGCTTGCGGACACCATGAGCACCAACTTCACAGAAATTGACTGTAATTGTTTATACTTTCCTGTTATTACAATATGTGTGTACTACTCAAAGTGTGACAAGTCAAGTTACTTCTATGAAGACCGTGAATGTATTCAAGAAATTACACAGCGTTAATTCAAGTTGTTTAGAAAGTTGTAGATCTTCTAGGCGAAAGCCGATATATCAGGCGAGAGTATCCATGTCTTAATTAGCACAGTGAGAAAATCATGTATGGCTCAGAGGTACTCACTGTAATTTCCCACCATATTGTAGACCTTTTATCAAAACTTTGACTGCCTTTTGCTATTTACTGTTTTGTGTCCAGAATTTGAAATTGGTTGACGTAAAATGTCTAAATGATTGCGCTTTAAACTTGACAGGGGAGGCAGATAGCCCAACCCCCCCACATAATTGCATGAAGCAACTGGCTATTTGGTTTCCTTCGCTTTCATTTTATGCAGAATTCCCTAGTCACGTAATTTTGATCTCATTTGTTATCCATAAAATTCAGTTAATTCACAATCTGATAGGACAGAATATTAGAATATATAGTCTCAGTATTCTTGCTTGTTAACTTATTTGGATCCTATAGACAGTTTTCATCTCACCATCAAAGTTCAAACAATATTTCACTAGTCGAAGTTTGTTTTTAGAACATTATGATCTCTCAAGATATAATAAACCAAGGAATCTATGTATACCTTTACGTTCCTTGTGGAACATAGGGCTTCAAGCTACAGGCTTGAAGTTTCAGTAGCAGTGGTATTTATTTTTACGGGATGGGGTTTCTAGCCTGTCTCATGCCCAACCTCCCCTCTTTACCAGTCTTATTACTGGCTTAGCGAGGTAAAGGAATGCGTCGGTTGGGAATAGAACTCAGAATAACCTGAGTGGTTGGAGAGCATTCCACTGGTGTACCACAGACGCACAAACCAAGGAATAGTGATACCTAAATTATTTTTAGATGCTACATTACTAAACTTTCTATTCAATTAAACATAAGATAAATACATAATAATATCACTTACTAAAGAACCACTAAATATGTACATAATTGACAATTTTAAAGTCCATATAAATCGGTCATAATGTTTAGTAGTTAATGCGGCAAAGAAATTTGATGCAATCAGCCCAATTTGATAAGCAGCATATTCATCTGTATAAATGAGAGGATTACTTAAATTGTCTAAAGTGATAACTTACAAAAACCGGCGTTTATAATGAGTAATAAAATAAAGAGTAATGGAGTAAAACATTCCTTTTTTAATTGTCTAGCCAGATATCGAATGAAGTTGATAAGGAAACGAACTCCAAAACTAACACTGTAAGAGGAGATTTCAACGATTAATTATGAATAACAGTAAGCTATACCTTTTACGTTCTTTGTCCATATAAGGTAGAATATAATGTAAACCAGCAATTTTAATCTACCTAAAAGTATAAATGAATAGAAAAATGAAGATCACTAAGAGTATTTTGTACCCAAATTACATGAGTAATACTTACGGAATCTTTGAAAATAGAAGATAAATTTGTTTTGAATACTTTTAGTTTAGAATTGACCACTAAAAAAAATTAAAATTCACTTGGGATTGTTATTTAAACATTAACTTAACTAATATGACTTCTTTATTTTTTTCTAAATAATGGAAAATACCCAACAGGACATTAGACGGAAAAGAACAAGAAGTTCACCAAAGATATGTTTTCGGCGATTTCATTCTCAAAAGCTGTACAATCACATTTATTTACATAAGTTTGTGTAGATACAATTATTATTTAATTCCACATAGTAACGAAGGACACTTAGGGCCATGGGGGTCCTATAAAAAAGTGTTGGGGAACATTATTCTGCATGGCTGCAAAGAGAATGCACTGGTTCAATGAAGAGCATCATAATTGAACACCTAGTCAACTCCTGTCACAGCATCTCACCTGACTCATCATTGAGAGTCATTTACAAAGTAAAAAAGAATCTACCAAATGCAGTGTGTTTCCAGTCTCTTTCTACTCCAGAAGCCCTCGCCATATGCCTCGAAAAATCGGAGCTGTGTATTCAAAAGAAACTGGTTCAACCCCTACATTTGCCGTGGATCTAGTTCTGTTATTCTCCTTCGGTTCCGTTTTTTATCTCCCTCATTTCCCCTTTCCTTCAGTTTTAAAATATTATTCTTTCAACTTGCACCCATGCTCATCCTATTCATACCTTTAGTCGTTACGGAACTATTTTCTAATCCTGTATAATTTTTATCTAGGTGCCTTGTAATCTATATTCACACCTTCAAACTTTCATGAAATGTTTAAAATTATTATGACCCTTAATCTCCTTTGTTACTATGTAGAATTAAATAATAATTGTATCTATGTAAAAATAGGTATGTAAATTCGACTGTACAGCTTTTGAGAATGAAATTACCGGAAATATACCTTTTCTGGACTTCTTCATCGTCTGGATATGAGGTCGCTTACAATTTCATTAAAGATTACGAACATAGGACCAGCTAATGAGAAAAATGTTCTCTCGATCCACGGCAATCGACTCTAGCAACCAAATACGCTTACAAGACAATATCATTTACAAAATACGTAAAAATCTTCTAAGGATTGTAAAAACTAGACCTTTTCAAACTGTGAAAAGCATAGAAATTGTTTTTCAAGCCTTAATTACGAGGCTTTCGGTCATTAGGTGAGCAGTCAACTTATTTTTAAAACATGTTTTGAATCTTAAAGTGTCTTTCTTTATCTCATCAGATCATCACATCCACAAGCAGCTTTCAGTTCTTGTTTCTCACTATTGAATTGTAAGATATTCATTTACTTTTCAATTATGGGTTTTTGTAGGGATTGTGTTTTGGTTGGATGGAAGGTTTCATCATGGGCTGACATTGGTTAGAGAACCACTGGCAAACCATCTGGGAGTACTGAATAGCTGTTGCATCAGTCTAGTTTGGGACTCTTCATCAGTACGCACCCACTGCCACGGTTCAAACCCAGGACCTTCTGGTTAAAAGATAAGCTAGCTCTTAGGCCATTAAGTCACTGGGACCATATCCAATGACCAGCTCATGAATTCTAATTTCTACCAGCCAATTCACGACATAGCCCGACCACCTCTCGATGTCTTCTTCGATAACTTACTGACTCATCTTCAACCTGCTGTACCCTACTGGTCACGGCTTCTCACTAGAACTCCAGGTAAACTGCCTGAATGGGGCCAGTCGCTAGTGAGCATCAGATTAATCTTCAAGTACTGGTTTTTGTAGGGATTGTGTTTTCCAGGTTTTCCAATGGTTCTGCAACTGATGTCAGCTAATGATGAAACCGTCCAACCAATATTCATTTATTCTTTTAATCAATTACATTTGACCACATTTCTTAATCATAGTTTAGTATTGAATAATTCACAATTTAATATTATTCTGGAATATAGTAGTTGCTCACAAATCGCGTAAGGTTTCAGAAAATCTTAATACTTTTTACATATATTTAGAAATAACGTTTTTCTGCAGAGTACATTTTGTGTATATGTAATACAGTAGTGTGTGATAATGATCCCCTATAAAACTAGTCATTTTCCGCTGAATATCTTTTTTATAGTTAACATAGTTAAGCACTTCTTACTAAACTATATAAAGACTTCATTTAACACTAGGAATCATGCAGAAAATGAGACTACAATGACAAAAAAGAATAAATGTGGCTCATTTTAAAGTACAAATGCGTTTGACATGTGCTACTTCTTCCTGATTTCGAAATAAAACCAAACTAATGTGCCGCTGTTAAGCAATTTCATAAACTTTATGATATGTTTATATGAAATACCTAACGAAAATCATCTGAAATAAAATCCAGAAGTTTAACAAAGTGAGAAAACTCAGAAACAAAGTGAATGCTCATTAAATGACGAGCAAATGACAGCAACGATGTAGCAGGTGGCAATGTTAGCTACATGTATAAACGTGATTAAGGGAATCGGCATCAAAATCAGTGACTCGCAGGTTGAAATTTCACAACATTTGACATATCTGAAGGACGGGAAAAATACATTTAAACCAAATGCTGTGCCTGACTAAGAAGCGAATATGCGACTTCTGAGAGTAAAAGACACACGACGGTTATGAAATGCAGTCATCAGGTATTATAAAGTATTTTTAGTATGCAGAACAAATAAAGCAATCCAACATTCAATCTTGTTAATATCTCTTAACATTTTACAATTTGATTTGAACGGATCAAAACTTATTTTAAAATATGGGTGATAACTTGTTAGCGAGTACAGTATCACAACGCTTTTGTAAAAATCGCTTCACAAGTTTTTAGTGTTTCACTCTATCAAACAACAAATTAAATTCTATGTTGTTTTCCAACTGAATTAGGGAGTAATTTTCCACTCCTAGTACCAATTAAAACCTGTATGCAAGGCTACACGATGAAAAGCAAGTAATCTAGCGTTAATCTCGCCTACTTACAAGGGTCCAATCCTAAACAGACAATCTGATAAGCAATTTAATTACTTTATACACACATCCAGTAAGCTGTGACAAACCAATATAAAAAAGTACAAATAATGACTATCAGATAAATTGGAATAACTAACAGAATTATGAAAATCGATTGGGTCACTACAGGAAAGCAATTAGGCAACCTGGTGTCTAAATGCGTTAAATTTGTAACTGTGTGAACACCTACAAATCAGCACAAACACTGATAAGCTGCTGAAAACTTCTGCAATTAAAGAAGAAATGTAAGATCTAAGCCGGTGATATCTATCAAAAACAAAACTTCGAATTCATAAACCTACTAATGACCTATCCGACTGAAATTCACTAAACTTGTGTAAGTGGGCTAGTTCTCCTTCAAGTGTCTCGTTATCATAGAATAACTGCTATGGAAACAACCATTGCCTATAGTTAATTTTCAACCTTAATATCCTCAAAAAACTAGCAAATAACAAACCATTACGGCCCTGAAACGCAAATAATATTCTTTCTATGCTAAATTTCTTATATACGATGAGTTCTTAAAGTAATACATCCTCTGGGATATCATGACAGTTTTATCCATTAATACGAATACAATACTGGAAAATGTTGCTTTTTCGTCTATAGAAGCCTGAAACCAGTTACATATTATCTACTTTCAAAAAAATAAACACTTATAACGCCTCTATAGGCGTGAACACGATAACCCATACATTGCGCGATAATATATCACTATAACGTTTATCATCACCCAAACTTTCTACACACTATTTTTAAAGACGCCGCATAGGCGACAAAAATACTACTAACAATGAAATGCCATTGTATGACTCACACTACGATGCTAATGATGTAACAAAAGGTGTTCTTTATTAAAAAATTACTTTTCTAGCAAAGAATAACTATAAATATGTACAGACAACTGGAACAACTAAACAGCTTCAGGCACTTCCCTAAGTGCACTCGAGGGTAATTTCGACTGAAATGCCCATCGGCAGCGAAACTTGACATCAAAAGAAAATAAATGTGTTTGTACGCCTCAATCATTACCATAAACTTTAACTTGCAGTAATCTTATGACGTATTTCACAGGGAAGAAAATTTAAACGTAAAGTCAGGCGATTAACAGACTTAAATATTCCACAGAATTCCTCACTACAAAAGTTGAAAAGTCTATTTTAAGTTTTTTCCATGAATACGCCGCTCAGTGATGCTGTAAATATATATACATACGCATAAACATGTTTATAAACTTAATATCATCCATGGAAAATCTGTCACAAAATTGTTCTGCTTGAATACAGAATTACCTATTTCTTTAATTAAGTTTTGAATTCAAGCATAAAACGTGCTTGTTTATATGCCTTCTGGGCAACTAATACGTCAAGTTGCACACAACATCATAAGGTAGCGCACAAAATTGTAATGTTCACTATGTGAGAAGCGAAACCTTCATAATTCAATGAACACGTGCGACAAATTATATAGTACCAATTCAGGTCATTCACGATTTTTGCAAAATATAGAAGGTGTTGTGGTGGGTTTGATGATCACGGCATTGATTGCATGAGTATGAGCTTATCACCTGTAAGTTTTAGAAAAAAGCACAGTTTAAGACCTCCCATGAGCGGAGACTCGATTATCTTCCAATATCTAATATCCTGATTGCGAGCTAGTCTAAGCCAGTGATTTCTTTGAGCTCGCTTCTCGACTGTAAGGTAGAGGTTCCAGATCTTCGGTGAACTTATGCGTAGTAAATCCCGCCACTCGACTGCTTTAGCTCTGGTAGACTCCAAGAGGAGTGGTGCGAGGATTGGTCAAGATTGTGGTTTGTAGTGTGCAGTATGTTAGGACTGAGTTGCTGCCGCAAATGGAGTTTGACCTTACACCTGTTGGTCATCCGGTGTAGT